TTGGGACAGGTCCTACCTTCCTGCTTCTGTCCCCGGGGACACCCCCCCCCCATGTGTGACCTCAAGCACATGAACGCCCTTCTGGGTACAACTCTCCCGATCTGGTCAATGCAGGCAACAGATGCTTGCTTGAGTCCCTCCCTCGTGGTGACAGGGTGTTTGGTGGCTTTAGAGCCTGCAGGCCCTGGGCCCCCAGAGAAGACCCTGCGTGCTTGCAGCTTGTCCAACCTGAGACCCAGCCACCAAAAAGAAGCTGGCTCTCCACCCCAACCACAGTGGCAGGTGTGGCCAGCCTGTGCCAAAACAGAGCTGACCAGACCCCAGAACCAACCGAGTCGCCCACATCCTCAGGCCCTGCCTCTAAACAGGCTCTGCTTAAGGCACGTGGTTTATAACCTTTGGCACAGGAAGGCTTCCTTTGCCGGATAGGGGAACTGGGTTTGCACAATCTGCCATTGCCCCCAGCAAAAAGAGGCGGTCCTGTCAAATAGTTGGGTGTAGCTGGTCGGCTAACTGGTTTTATGTCAAAAAGCCCCCCCCCCCTTTTTTTTGCAGTATTTTGGACTGAAGCCCAGGCTTTGTACATCCAGCTTACTGAACTCTAGTCCCAGCTCTTTCGACAGTTTGTTGGTTTATTTGTAGATTTTTAGTACATTTACTTATTATATACGTGAGGTCATGAATGGCATGACACATAGGTGTAGGTCTAAATTTGGGGACGGGGGTTAGACTCAGGCAGTCATTTCAATGGCTGTAAGTGCCTTCAAGTGCTATCCCACCAGCCTTATTTATTTTAAGCAGGGTCTCAGCTCAGGCTGGCTCCTGTTGCTCATGCCTCTGCCTCTCAAGTGCTAGGATTGTATGACAGGAGTAGATAACACACCCCACTGGAAAGCTTTTAAATGGTTAATTTCCCCATGCTGATTGGCTATATATCCCCTTTATCACTCTGGTTTGTGGCCATCTTGGGATACAAAGCAAGACCTTCTTGAGTGCCTCATCCCAAATGAACACACAACTTCCTTTAGGAAAGCCAAGCCATCCCAAACTACACCCAGACATCGTTGCATAATAAACATGCCCATGACTGTCCACTAGTCCCTGGTGACACTGAGGTCTGTGCCTGGGTAGGAGGTGTCCCCAGAAGAGGAGACTGCATTTTGGTTGATGTTCCTTTATCACAAGATACTGAGGAAAAATAATCTTGTGAATAGTCGAGGCAAATAAATGTGCTTTTGCCATCATTACACCCATTATTCCATGGCCTGTTTCCACATCTATAAAATGGAGAGATTGCTTCCACTGCACAGGTGACATCTGAAGGTGCTTTGTAAATCAGACAAACAGAAAGCCTCAGATTCCAGAGGAGTTCGTAGAATGCTCCAAACTGTGAGCCCTTGGCTCTTCTGGCCCAGAGAAGAAAACTAAAGTGCTCTGGTGCAATGACAGTGTAGCTGTTATTCATCCCAACCCCAACCCTTTCACTGGAGATCCCACCAAAAAAAACATATTGTGACTTATCTCCACCACTCTCCATTTCTGAGCTGACATACAAATAGGCTAAATAATTCACCTGGAATAGTCTCCTGGCATCAGTACTAAATGTAATTCAGTATTTCCCTCTGGCCCGTAACAGTATGAGCCACAAAGTCTGGCTTCTAGTAAGAATGCAGCCTGAAAACTTCAAGGAAATAGATCATGAGTTTGAGAAGGTTTGCTCATAATTTTTAAGTAATAAATGAACAAGAGTGTGTGTGTGGGGGGGGGGGTTACAGGGACAGGGGCTCAGCAGGTACTTGCAGCCAAGCTTGATAACTTGAGTTTGGTCTCTGGAACCCACATGGTAGAAAGAGAAAAACAATTTTTTGTTTGTTTGTTTGTTTGTTTGTTTGATTTTTTGGTTTTTCGAGACAGGGTTTCTCTATAGCTTTGGAGCCTGTCCTGGAACTTGCTCTGAAGACCAGGCTGGCCTCGAACTCACAGAGATCTGTCTGCCTCTACCTCCTGAGTACTGGGATTAAAGGCCTATGCCACCACTACCCGGCTAAGAAAACCAATTCTTAAAAGTTGTCCTCAGAAACCGGGTAGTGGTGGCACAGGCCTTTACTCCCAGCACTTGGGAGGCAGAGGCAGGTAGATTTCTGTGAGTTCAAGGCCAGCCTGGTCTACAGAGGGAGTTCTAGGACAGCCAGAGAAACCCTGTGGTGGTGGGTGGGGGCGAGTCTACATTAAGTTTTTCTTGAAGCCCACTTGGGAGGTAGAGGCATGAAGAGC